GATATATTCATTGTTAATATAAAAGAATTAAGACTTTATGACAAAAGAAGCGATTTAACCTTTATTACTATAAAACTTAACAACTGGCTTTCTAACATTTCCCAAAACGTTTCATGTAATAGTATTGATAATAATGAATCGCTTTAAGAATATTTATACTAAAGTAGAGTAGGAAAAAAAAAGGGTACTTGACATGTAAGGATCCTAAGTTTTACTAACGTTTATTTTATTTTAAATCTTTACTATCACTTCTTATTTTCTACTTTCGGCCAGAATTAAAAGCTTTAACTTATTTATGCAAATTTCTCTTGCTAACGCCAAGTATTTAAGTTGTGGCTTTTTGCCAAGCAAGAGAGAGAAGAAGGAGTTATTGGAAGTAAGCCGCTTGCCATAGTAGTTTTACTCGGTTGCTGGTTGCCTTCAAGGCCAGAGGTTTAGTCCTCTTGATAATTTCAAACGTATCGTAGTTTTAGCAGCTCTCCGTACTACATACGGACCAATGTTAAATAAAGGCCAATCTTATTGCTAGGCACTTGTATACTAATTCAAAGTTAGTTTAGGTAGAGTTTTAGTTAGTAGTTTTATATTTCTTTACGTTCAGAACCACAAGTGGTTGGTCTCTGTATTCGCGAAGTTCGTAAAACCTGTAAAGATAGAAAAATAAAGTGGTTTCGTATACCCTTCCTGTGTGTATTGTCTACTTCACAATTTATTGAACATAGCTTGAGTAAGCTCCCTGTTCCGAGTCAGGACAGTTAATGTTTCCAAAGCAAGTCAAGAGGAACACAAGTCCTGATAGACATTTAAAAAGATAATCAAGTTCCACTTACTTTCTTTAAATTCCAGCTAAAAAAGCTGGAGTAGCCTACGATCTATGAGGCTTTATATAACGATATGAAAGCCATTCTTAAACCTTTATTTTAGGAGGAATGGTTCGGATGTGTGAGAAAGGATTTCATAGTGTATAAATGAAATGTAAATAGTATTATTTTTGTAAAATTTGTATGATATTTCCATTCATGTTTCTATTCATTCTTTGACTAAAAAATAGGCAATGTTTAATTTCTTTCGTCTCTGATGTCTGCCGATTAGCGTGAACAATTTTTCTCTTATTACTTAACTTTCATTTTTCATTACTTAAACAAAATAATGCTTTTTAAGTTATTTGTTTTTAAATTCCCACTTTTTTCCCCAATACTACATATTGAGGATATAAATTCACCAAAAGCAACCCTAACTGCACATTCCTTCGTTCCCTAGGGTTGAGCGGTAAAGTCGCTGACCGCTGGTAGTTCGGCTCAAGGTTCAAATCCCACTAAAGGGATGGCTCATGGGCGTTTTTCGTGGTTTTCCCCAAGTGTAACGTGCATATGAGTTAGTATATGTCACTAGTATAAGTCCTCCACGAAGGCATCCTTTCGAATGCTCTGCCATAATCAAATGAATGAATGAACCTTCGTTCCCTCTAAAAATTTCCAAATTATAATAGTCGTTTGTTTTACCACAGGTTCAACGATATGCAAGTAATTATATTTTGGCTCTGGACTCGTTGTTGTAATTAGTTCTTTCCTTTGTATTTATGACGCGATTAAAAAAAAATTTTTTTTCCTAAGTATAATAGATTAAAAATTTTAGGAATTCTGTTTTAATATTTATTGGAAATTTAATCATTTGTATTCGTATGTATAGGACTGGTATTTATTGAATATCGTTTTTTTTTTTTTTTTTGTTTGGGTTACATTTGTTCTGTAAGGGAATAGGGTTCTATCAATTTTCAGGGTACTGAAAGTAAGTATATTATTACTTCAGTGCCTTGGAAACTTTTAAGCTTAAAGAAGTAGAATAAATCTTCTTGGAAGATGTGTATTGTCATCAGAAGGCTTTACGTCCTCTTGACAACGTAACTGTCTGAAGGGCAAAAATTATTTTGACTCCGTTTTAAGTTTAAATCAGTTTACTCCATTTATAATTTGCAATACTACTAGTTTTCTCAATTAATATTTTATTGTATATTATCTCATTTGTTTTTCTTTTGCCTGTTTTGTTTTAATTTAATCCCTCTCTCTCTCTCTCTCTCTATCTATATATATATATAGTATATATAATTTCGTAAGTGGTTTTGTAAAACTGTGAAATGTGTTGGCTCAGAATTCTTACCTTTATAAAGAAAAAGTATGTCAACCTGAAGTGCTAATTTGATTTGAAAAATTGCGGATACATTTTCTCATTTCGAAAACAAACGTATCATTTAAAGTAATGGTTGAATTGTATAGAAATCCAGAGGAATTTAGTTAAGTTTTTATCAAAAACAAACTTTAACCAAGATTTAAACTGCTTTGAGAACTGCTTTACTTCAGTTGGCCCTGCTGCTTTATTGAAACGTTTATTCGGAGTCTTCCCGAAAATTGAAATTATAATATGAAATTGTGTTGTGCAGTTCTGTTCAAAGTATAATTCGTATGTGTCTTATTGAAGTTACGGTACTAAATTTTTCTAATCAAAATTAAATTTTAAAATTATTATCATGCTGTAATCTGTTACTTTGGAATAAGACCTTTAAGATAATTTTCTCATCCGGCTGTCTTCTTAAGCATGACAAACGGCAGCAGCGGCAGACCCATAATTCTTTTTTTTTTTTTTTGCCCCATTTCACTTCTCTTAATTGTGTTATTTCGTACAAAGCGCACAAATGAAGGCTGATCTTAAACTTGAACTCCAGTCTCAGATGAGGTGGAGAAATTAAGTGTTGTGTGCTGATGACGTCACATGTTACCCCGTTTGCAAAGGGGAGAATAATCCAGAAAGTCCTTGAAGTGCCTATTTTGAAATAACACACTATATAGAAAATAGATCTATTATACAAAAATATACTTTGCATTCGTACCAGATGGTTGAACATTTTTTTTTTCTTTTCATTTTTTTCCCATTTATTTTATTCATATATGCTTAAAGAAGCAGTTATTGGAATGAGTAACTTTTCTTTCTAAATCGCTTTTGTGGTTAAATCGTACAAGCTATTTATTATAAGCAACCTTGTGATTTTAGAATTGAGAGTTTGCTATAAAGTAATATAAAGTGTGCTATTGATACTCCGGTTTGCATTTTATTATTATTATTATTATTATGAGGACCCAGCTCCGATTCTTCTAGCCGCCACAAGCCGGCTGTATCATCAAAAAATGGGATGATAGTCACTGTTCGCAAATCAGTCATAAACAGTCACATTTTTCATTTTCAATATTTAGTAAAAAATGAAAGAAGTGACCTATAGTTTCTTATAGTCTTCTTTTCTCACTACAGGCTTTATTTTAAACGGGAGGAAACAAAACAAAACAAAACAAAACAAAAAAAAAAAAAAAAAAAAAAGAGGAATTTTAAATTAAAAAATTCTCCATGAAAAAAAATCATGCTCTCGCAATTTAAAGAACTGTTGACCAGTAACTGCGTATCAGATGCAGGCTTATCAAATTTTGTTGTTGTGTTTTAAGTTGCAGTAGTTCTTTCTTGTTTCATTTTTATGGGCCCTTTAATAACTTTTCTATTTTCATTATTATCTTCCTAGCCTATGGTTTTGCCTTAAGACATACTATTATAGATAAAGAAAACCGTCTTAAGTGTCAGAGGGCTCATAGTCTCTGTTTGCAACAAAATCTGGCCATTGTTTTCTCCAGGCTTTAATCGTGGTCCTGTAAGACCTGTCACTTGCCACCAGGCTTGGTCAATGATAGTTAAGCAATGTAAAATATTAAAAATATGTTTACAGAAGTTTCCGAATGTTAATTATGTGGCATAGGTTACCTCAAAACACAAATCTACATCCGCTTTAGTTTGCTTGTCAGAGGAATAAGAAATCAAATGCAATGATGAATTATTATAATAATAATGAAAAATATCGAGTACATACTTCTAAAAGTACTGTAAATGTTAAAAAAAGAGACAAAATATATCTATTACGGAATGAAAAGGCATTCCTACATGTTATGGAATACTAAGGTGAAGAATCACAAATAATAGCAGCATTATGAATAAACTACAAAAATTCCATCTTCCTCTCTCTCGATCGCAGTGGAAAAATAATAAAGTATCTGAAGTTCGAAAATGCTGTAAGAAATGTTTATGATGAAGCAAGATGTGGACGAAATAAACTGCAAAAAATCTAAAAATTAAAGAAGTGACAAATTATTGCGACACTCGCAGCTAAAAATTATATCGCTGCTTGCAGTAATTCATAATTCAATTACAATAACTTGTAAACTAATTTATTTATGAAAGTAAAGGAAGATACTTCTCCCTTTTACAGCATTACAACTTCAATTTCTGGTATAACGTCCTTATTCATCAAATTTTATATTATCTGTCACCTATTGTTAGTTGGAGCAGAACAAAAGAATCATCGCTAAGCGACATTGCCTGAACGGTAAGTTTACTTTCACTCATTGATGACCGACGAGGTACTTCAGTATTAATGGACTATTTTACGTATACGTGCGTGTGTACAACCTATTCAATTGATCCTTTTAAATGCGCGGCGATTTTTAACTACACAATAAAACAAGCTAGCGTTTTGACTCTCAGGATCTTACATATGAAAATTTTTAAATTTAATTTGAATGAGTACGTAATTAAATACTCGAAGTTCAGGTTTTATCATAAATCGTGATTATTTAAAAATGTAAGCTTATCAAACAGAGCCGTAAATTTGTTGCAACTTGTAAGATAAAGATTAACAACAATGACAAAGATTTTTCGAGAAGATCTTTTATTTTACAAATATTTTAACTCGAACGTTACAATATTGATATTCAATATTGTATCTACCCTTCGACACAGAGAAGTGTTAATAATAATAGCTTAGTGAATCGTATCTTAAAAAATACCTGGTAAACTGAATTAGGATTATTTGTATTACAGTAAACCACGCAAGGATTAGCTGCCCAAGGAGGCCTTCATGAAGGACTTTCTAAGAAAACCTGGCTCGTATTCCATTACACGTGGAGAAAAACCAGAAGACTCCTATGCAGCTAGCCAGCTTACCGAGATTTCAAACAGGTCGAACTACCAGTGTTCAGCGATTTTATTGCAGGTAATATTAACAGAATATAAACTTATAATGTTTATTATAATAAACGTTTAAAAAAAATATTCTCTCTCATTCTGATTATGTACGCAGTATTCAGGAAGAAGATGTAAATTAGTTGACGCAAAGAATGCACGATTATATTAGAAGATTGTTACAAAAAAGATGCTTTGTATGACTGTCTTTGAAAATAGGCATTAAAATACTGATATGATAATTTTTCTTTAAAAACAATATGTATTGCAAATTAGGAGCTTAGGAAAGCTTAACTTTCAAGTTCTTCCCGAAAGTTTCAGAGAAAAGACATTATTCAGATTTCTTTCTGAATCAGGTTCTGGCCAACCATGGGGCATTTCCAAGTTATATTAATAGATTCAACTTAAAAGAATCTCTATGTTCCTGTAAATGTGGTTCTTCAACAGCAGATGCCATTCACATGATTGTGGACTGTCCTAGTACCAGGGACATTAGATTCAAAACCTTCGCACGAACTCTAACAGTGGACTCACTTATCAGATTAATGCATTCTGATAAAGGTAGTATTCTTATATCGAAAATGATAGAACAGTTAATATATAAATGAAAATGATTTGTACTCCTGATTTATTATCTTTCCGATTGTGCCAATGTCGTGCATAATCAATATCAGTGAATTCTGTATTCTTTAATAATCAAATTATATGCTACTCTTTATGCTTATGAAATTCATTTATTGAAATTTCTATTGTATCATCTTTTACAATGTTTTATGTAATACGTTTGATGTAAGTTTTAAATATAGAACAAATAAATATGTTGGTGAGGCCAACACATCTTTAGTCAGCGGATATCAAAATTCTGTAATTGGAATTGTTCAAAAAATTTAATTTCGCTGATTTTTTTAGCGCTATACCTTACAATGCTTTTTCCTCTTAGCCTTTGTCTCCGGTAATACCGCAGATATTAAGGTGAAGACCGGGTACTCCAGTTTTAGAGTTGTAACTTTTACTGGGTTGATGTATGTGTGCAAAGCAAAGAGATGTGGAGGACAATTTTCCTAACATTTAAACAGCAAGCGTAAATTCAATACGGGTATTGTATATAAAACATGGCTCTTCATTTTCTGGATCAACCCTCTGGTCTTCCTTGGCTTTTATTCGACCTTTTGTTCGTGGAAAACGTAATATCAAGGAAATCTTGAATAATAAAGTGAGATTATATGACCAGCATATACGGTATCAAGTATATACTTGATTAGAATATAAGATGGTTATTGGCCAAGAAAAAGAATGCGTAAGACCAGAAAATTAGCTCTGTGAAATCGTAGCTAATGGCGATCGACTGAAATAAACAGATTTTGTAATGAATTGCATGTTTGGAAATGACATGTTGAAGTGATACAGGGCTTTTTTGGGACTGGTAGGTAAAAGCGATCTAGTGGAGTAAATCGTCGTTCCACATGCGGATTTCGAGTGTTATGTATCGCTATCCGAAGGCGAAGCTGACTGATATGCATTTTATTTATAGAGCTGCAGAGGGAAATTTTGCAGTTTCTCAAAGGAGGAAATCGTTCTGTGTATCCGCTTTGAATAACTGCTCCGTTCCTGTCCACAGCCCCTTAAATAAAATGCATATCAGGCAATTCTGCGTTCGTGTAGCGATACATATCGCTCGAAATTCGCATGTGGAATGGCGATTTACGCTAGGAGATTACTTTTACCTATCACTTTAACAGCACCCTTACCGCATCAAACATCCTTTTCCGCACAGATGTTGAATAACAAGGTCTGCTTAATTTAGTCCTCTCTACCTGCCTTTACATTTTTTCCAGATATTTTGTAGTCCCCCTACATATAAAGAAAATTATGTCTCTGTATTTGTGAGAAATATAAAAATTTTAATTAAGGTTTTCTCTCGGAACTGACAACTACTGTTTTTGTTCTTGACTTGAAACTTTATTGCCTATACTTGCATCACTTGTGAGATAACAGCGACATCTCCAGATCCTTCCGCCTCGCTGAAAATGCACGTGACTTAAATTTTTGACACCAGTGCTTCTGGTTGCAATGAAGTTCTGTTCTGTTTTTTCTTAGTTTCCATGCAGCTATAACCTAATCGCACGTCTAAGATAGGAACGATTTCCCTAACCGTCTGGCTGGCGTAGTAACACATCACCTCCATCTGCAGTAGAAATGTCAGAGATGAAGATTTTAAAAATATGAATGATAGATGATTTTAGTAGTTGCAGCATTCCAGTTAGTCCTCATGATATTTCTTCTGGCTTACAAATCTGTCGTAGTGCCGGGACATGTCTTGCCCAGCTGTAAATTTACTTAAAGCTATTTTTGGGATTTTTCATATTTCGAGCACTTCTTCAAGTTTTGAAGTAAACCATCTGAAGAGACATACAAAATTCATTTCCCGATCAGGTCGAGATATTTTGCTGTCTGTTTTCGAAAGATTGCTAATTTTGGGAGGATTTTTTTTTAAAAGCATCCTCTCTTTGTATGCACCGTCGCACCCGTTTTTAATTCACTTGAAATTTCCTGTCTGTTGCCCCATTTCCATTATGCATAATGCATCACTTGAAAAACTTCGCAGTGTAGCTCACGCTCACTTGAATCGTATTTAACATACACTAAGCAGGTACTCAACACTGAGCTTTAATCATCATCCTCTCTCTTTCTCTGGAATTTGCGACGTTTTTTGTATGTCCTTCTCTGCATTTTCGTCTCTAGACGAAATTTAATACGCCTAATTAAAAAATTTTTTTTCAGATTTATCACTTTAGAACATAATGCGGCTTATGCATACATAAACGCGATATATCGTGGAATGAGCTGAAAGAAAATTTGAATGACAATATTAAGACTCATAATTCTATTACTCTGGAGATTCTAAGCATGTAAGTTGTTCCTCAGTCTCAAACAAAATAAGAAAAGCCAGTCGTCATGCGATTGTTCTCTCTTAATGAACTAATTCATTGAGTCAGGAAAGATGCAGGTGATACTAAAGATGAACAAATTCTTGACTATTCCTCACCTCAGGAGTTGTATATTTTCATGTTAATAACAGATTTTAAGTATCTACAGAAAAATTAACACTGTCAACACTGTCAAGAATCTTTGCGTTCGCTATGTTTTTGTATCTGCAATACACATAATGCTAATAAGTGCAAAGGCAAATTCTCGCATTTCCACTCCGAACTCCATTTCGACTGTGGCAATGGAGCAACACATTCATTGTTCTTTCTATCTTATTCAAGCTTTCTTTCCTACAGAATTGACTATCAAGAAATATTCATCATCAAGCGCGGAAAGGCCCAAATTTTATCTGAGCTGATAAGACTGCGTTTCTCGTAATAGACCAGCAATAAAATATACGATTCGTCAGTGTGCGTTGATAGAGGGGGCAACTGTCCCTGGCACAGTATCCAGGGGGCACCAAATTGCTGTTACGAAATTTTAGAATTAAATGTTTTCCATTCTTAACAAACAGGAGGAGCGCAAAATCTTCAGTTGTCCCCAGGCGCTGAAAAGCCTAGCTACTGACTGTTGCGATTCTTACTCCCTCTCTCTTCTTCTTACCCTTTTTACTTGCATTCGCACGCTGAAGAAGCTAGCTTGACTGTAGGCTACAGGACATATATCGCATTTTTCCTCTCCAATTCTGCGAGACGATTTTCATAACAAGTCCTCGTGCCTACTTTATGTAGTTTATTTATTTTCTTACCTTTAAACGTCTTTAATATTTGTCCATCAAGATATTTTTTCCTCTTTGGAATAATTAGTAAATTCAGAATTGAATCCAGCGGCAAGTTCGTTATGTTATTTTGATTAGAATCACAAGTTCGGCAAAGCAGTGTATTTCGATTGAAAATAGGTGGACATTTTTCATCCCTACCAAGTCTTATAATATTCTGCAAGCATAGCTTCGAAAAATAATGACTTCAGCGAGGTTACAAGATTTCACTTTCTTTGACGTGCTGTTCTTCTTAGACAACTGGCGAATGTCATTAAGTGAATGATATTTACCTAGGTTTCTTTGTTACAAAATATGTATCTAAATTTTTACTATAACATTAATTTTGTGACTATATGTTTGACAGGTGAACATATTACGTTTTCCTTTCTGGCACTATTTATTGCATGGGTAAGTTAAGGTTTACCTTTTACCCAATTTTAGGTTGTTAAGGCACATTAATGTCAAATTTAATATTCGCTTCTTTTGGACTGTTGCAAACAACGCAATCACGGCCATCAAATCAAATTAAAATTATCTCTGAATTTTTGCTTATTACCAGTATTTTTTTAATAACATTATGTAAATGAAATCCATTAAGTTTTCATACTATCACACTTATTGCGGAACATAGATGAAACTCAAAATTGCGTCTTCAGGTAGCGTTGGCCATGATGGCTTTGAAATAAAGATGCAGATACCATAATGTAGAATAGTGAAGAAAACAAACCGACGCAGATGGCATTTAAGTCAGCAAGTCAGCGTCTTTGGTACCAGTACCGCTTCCAAATGCTACAGTGGCAAAGGCTACAAAAACAAAATGCGTATTGTTTTCCTATTCTGTAGTAAATGGCATAAGATAATGTTTGGAAATATCTTCTGAACAACTGATTGTCTTTAGTTCTTGTGTCAGTGTTATTAAGCGTCGTTATTTCTTCTTTCACTGACCTCGCACTGCAAAGGTTGTCTCCTGACGACTTTAGATATTAGTGGAAGCTATGATTTTCACGCTATGTGACCGGGCTGCTCTTATTCTTTCAACTTTAGGAGCAGGCCCACCAGCGGCCGAGCGGTAACGTCGCTGAGGAGCCCTGGTGGAGTGTCGAGGAAGTATCACTAGGTGTCGAATCCCCAGCTAAGCGCGGCTGTGCTGCAGGGTGTTGTTCGGGTGGTTTCTTGTTGTTTTTATCTCAGTAAGTGATGACACAACACCCAATTGTAGAGGATAGAACGACAACGTGTATACAAAGCCAGTTTCGCGTTAAAAGATCCCTCACACGAGGCAT